TAAAGATAAACTAATTGATCCCGGAGGGCCCTTCCAGTCTTACAGTTCTAGTTTTCACTTCCATGGTCCCTTGAGCTATAGCAAAACAGACTGTGCCCTTTTAATGGCTAGTTTTATGTGTCTTGTACCATAATCTGGTCTCTGTGGGAGACAGGCCCAAAGGGAAGACCAGGAACCAGAAATGTGAGGGATGCAGCTGGGGAAGGAGAAATTGCTCTTGGTGCCCCAAGTGGCACAAATAGAAAGGCATCCAAATTACAAAATGCCACATATACTTTCTGGTTGCCAGCTACCCCAAGCTGTGCTTCATTATATAGTTGGTAAAATTTATGTACCTCAACTGAGACACTGACAAATGCCTTTGTAAAAATTTACCTATTCCTGAATTCAGTTTACTCTGGAACTATTATTTCCCATGGCACTTACTTTCCTCCTTCAAGTTACCTCCTTTACTTCTGGTTTAAAGTTTCATCTCACTTGGTTCAATATTTAGCCAGATTCGCAACAATTTAACTCAGTACATTGAAGTGTTAACTCTCTCTTCGGGCTATTTTTCTCTTCTCCTTTTCCTCTTCCTCCATAAAATGGCATTTGGGAGAAGTAGAAAACTTACATTTAATATCATAGGTGATCATGGAGGATGTCCGGTCAGTATGTGTGCTGCTCTGATGTCTGACCTTGTAAGATCTTTGAGCATATAGGTTCTTTACTTCAGCATCCACTGGCATCAGGACATCCTATGCTAGCATCTCCTGAAATATGGGTTGTCCTTCCTGGCATCTGCTCATGGTGACCATGGACCTTGCCATTTGCCTCCAGTTCCAGGAGTCCTGCATCTTGCAGCCTTGACATTCTGACCCCAGGCACCTTCCCATTGACTGTGTTTTTCAGTCACACTTTAGTTCCATCTTGCAATTAGCTTACTCTCAACTGTTTATTTGACTTGACACTTGAGAGTGGAGCCTTAAGATGTCACCCTGAGGTCCACCCAAATAGGTACCTTCATTAGCTAGTCACCTCTGCCTCAAGGGATCATGTTGGGTCACAGTGACATACTCCAGAGAAACGTGGCACCAACTTTGTGCTTCTAAAGTCCCCTCTCAACCAAATCTGCAGGGTGTCCCAAAGCCACCATACATAGGGAAAATGAGAAATTGTAGCTAAATGTATCTTTATTTACAAAATATTCATTATAAAATTTTACAAAATTTTTCCTTTGTATGGAGACTTTTGGGACACCCTGTATTTAGATGTTTCTATTTTATCTATTACATTCTTCCCCTTCTTAGAAAATATTTTTCCTTTCCCTTTCCCAGGGCTAAAAGCCTCAATCTCACGTTCTAGTTTTAATGGTTTGAGGATTGCTGGGAGCTGAGGGGGAGGAGAATCTCTAAGGGACTCAGAAGGAAAAGAATGAGGTATATTTCAAATTTTATTACTCTACCATATTTAGAGAACATGTCTGTTAAGGTGAAATCATCTTTCCTTTTATGTCCTTAATTCCCACATTACCCTCAGTTCTCTTCAAGCTGTACAAGGTTGCAAACTTGAGCACATTTGAGTTTGCCTCTCGGAAAAGGTCACTGAAATAAAGAGAGACGGGGATTAGGGTTGTCACTCACTCCTGTCAGAATTCCCAGTATGCACATATGGAGCCTACATTCCAGGGGAGATAGTGGGAGTATTCAGCTTTGAGATTCAATCAACCCAGAAAATTAGTCAGTTTGTTCATCATTCAGATTCAAGGAAATTGGGTTCAAGTGTCTTCCCATTTTAAGCCCAGAATGACAAGCTGCCTCTGGCTTCTCACCTTTCCTCTTAGCAATCTGCGGGCTTAGCTAAAATTGGTTTCTTCAAAATGAAAATAAAAAAGAAATCTTGGATGAGGCTGTTAGAATATTGATCCTGAACTTTAGGGGATAAATAAGGATAGAGGTAAAATCCTACTAAAGTGCAACAATTCTCCCCCAGGTAACTCAGACTCTCTGTTTTTAGAGAAAAATATTTTGTAAAACATTCATGTTTTTCATTTGTAGAAGATAGAGATAATACAGAACTGGTTAGTATCTAATGTCATAAAATTAAAGAGAACAAAAGAGCGACCTATTTTACACATATCTTCACCTCCAAGCCCTTGGTTCAGTTATGGCTAAAACATCGGACAATGGTTTTGAGCTTCTTGGCATCCAAACACACGACCTATCTGGAGTGAATTTCAGGATGAGAACACAGGTCCAACATTCTATATTGGAAGCTGAAGGCTAGGCAAATAGATATTACATCTTGAAGAATGGGGATGTAGACATGAGACCTAGGATTAGGTAATCTGATGCTACGCTAAGGACTTTGAATCCTGAGGAGGGACACAAAGGACAAGGGTGTCTTCCTGTGGTGGCTGTAGTGGATCTAGGGTGGCAGAGAGTTTGGTTGGGGGTAGGGGGCGCTGCAGACAGTCCAGCAGTGGTGGTCCTGACTGTCCAGTGACACCTGAGCAAGTTCTTTCTATGGGATGATCTTTGCTAAATGTTGTCTCTTTGCATTCATGCCTTGCTACCAAAGCTTCTTACCAATTTTAAAATTTTTGCATGCCCTTATGATAAAGTACTTCTTAGTTTAAATAAGCAGAGTTGATTCTGGTGGTGACAGCTAAGAAACCTGGCTGGTACAGGAGAAATAAGTCCAAGGTGAAATCCACCTCTTAGGCCCTTTTCCTCTCTGAAGGACCTGGTGCCTGCACTCTGCAACCTGGCATCCCAACCATTCAGAAATGTAACTGACACATACTTAGTTCTTTGAAACATGTCTTAAGAGGTATATTGACAAACTGGTGTTCAGCTATGGGAAGTAGTTGGGGATTTTGGAAGGTCTGCAAACCAGATTGACTGAAGTAACTAGGAATACTGTAGACAAGATTTCTGTCTACAGTGCATAGCACAATTTTCCCCTTACTCTCTGCACCTCTCACACTTTCTATTTTCCAAGGCCTTCAATCTGCTGGATGCTAGAGAGAAACTGACACCATAAAATAATGCATGCTAAGGGACTGATAGATATCAGCTTCCCTTCTAGGAAGTATTTATATTGTGAATAAGACAGCAACAATATAAATGTATAAAGATTTCATACAATGCTGGGAATTCTGTCCACACGGTGGGTGAGCATGGAGGCTTTCTTCATGCTCTTTGGACCTATCCATCCATATCCATTTCTAGGGTCTAGGCTCTCCTTGAGTCTGTTTCTGTGGATAGTCTAAACATTTTGATGAGTTTTTCTAGCAGGTATCTAGAAAACTGAAAGGTAATTACTTCTTGATGGCTAAACAAAGGAATTAAGCTGCTGTTTATCTCAGTGCTCTTCACTCCTTTCTTGCCAAAAATGCAAACAGCCAACAGTCAGGTACTGTTACCAGAAAAAGCATTTGTTATTCTTAAGTGTTTGTCCCCAGATTTAAAGCAAGCACTATCACTTTAAACTGTTACCCTTTTTTTTGTAGAAGTGGTATTTAAGAACATTTATATATGATCCTTCCTCATTATCTGGTTCTCCTGGGTAAATGGCACTTGTAGCCTGGCCACAGACACCAAGTAAAGACATTTTCCCAGGTATTACATGGGAGTATTTTGTGTAATTGTTGTGTTTAGTTCTAGTCACCAGTAAGCAAGGGTGACATTTACAAAATTAGAACAGTTAATAAGATCTGATCCTGTCCCTTGTCAATTTAGTTTCAACCTCTCTCCCCAGGAGATTATCAAATGAAAAGATAATTATATAACTGAGATAAAATGTTTCTGATCTCTGTAGTACTAGGATCTAATCTCTGTAGTCTTCTTTGTCTAAGGTGGCTTAAAATTGTGTTTAGAAGGAATATATAATTAGGAAATGTTAGAGTTAAATGAGACTTTAGTTAAGGGTCCTATACTCTTAATCCTTAATTTACCATTTGTAATAACCTAGATCCCAAATGATGAAGGATGTAATATGAACAGCACTGAATAATTCCAGCTAGTCTCCCGACTATTAGTCCTGTGCTCTACACACTATATCAAGCAGCCAGGTCCATTATTTTGTTTATATATGCTTATTTCGATGTTTATATAAGTACCTATGTATGAATAAGTGGATAAATGCATATACTGAAAGAAGAAAGATAAGCAAGGCCTAGTAACATTCGCAAGAAAACGTGAGACAGGCATCTTCAGGACTCAATAATTCAGTATTAAAATATGTTTAAAACTTATCATCTGGAAACTATCAGAATGACTTCATAAGGCATCATTCAAAGATCTATTACCTTTCCAAGTCTACATGATTTGCAAGGTCATATGACACGAGTTAAAAAAAGATTTATTGCTACTGGGAAGCAGAATAATAGGTCCAACAAATCTGCAGGAATAAACTGTGCTATAGATGGGAATTAATTCCCCTGATTTTCAAATTGCTAGATAAGGCTTCATTTCTTACCATATCTACTGACATCTAGTGTTGTGCTGAGTTGGTTGCAGCTGCATGTTTAGGAAATCCCCATTGGAGAGCTGAGTGTTAAACACACATCCATGAAATGACACTGGAATTATCAGTTTGCCATTCTTCAGATTTCTATACATGTGTGCACACTAGATGAGAGGTATTATTGTTCTATTTGCCTCTCTTTGTTTTGTAAATAACATCTGACAGAAAGATTTAGAGAAATGTGTGGTGCTGTGCCTTGGTTTTGTTTTTGCTGATCAAAAATTTCCTTCTGAATAAATTTCATGCTTAGTTTTTCAGTATCTGATGGTCCTGGGTCATACACGCTAACCTTCTTTCTCCCAAAACCTCCATTGTGATTTATGTGGCCTCGTTATTCAAACATGAGTCCTTTCCATTCTATTATCTCCTTGGTGAAGGAAAAAGGAAGGAACATGAAATACAAAACTGGAAAGAATTTAGAATCATGGTGCCCAGTTCCTCTGATACTCTTCCCCCTGGTGGAGTCAGAGGATCAGAAAGGTTGTGGCTTTTCCAGAAATCATAGCTGATAAGACCAACATCACAATCAGAAATTTAAGCCCGAAGAAAGAAATCTTTTGATCAGTTGGTCTGACTGATGAGAAAACCCAGACCCAGAAAATATGTGTGTTATCCCAGTTCCTTCAGCAGGCTGAGACCCAACCTCACACCCCTCTCACCCCTCCCTAGTGTGCCACTCTGCGGCTTCATCACACAAGGACATGAGAGAGGAAACAATAACCTTTCTCACTTCTGAATATAAGACAAACGAGAACGTTGGGATGGGTAAGTTATGGCACACTGAAATCTATGCAGTGTTTTAATGTTTTCATATCCTCTTGTGGGCTCGTAGCTAATTAGAATACTCTGTGAGAACAGGCACATCTCATTTTATTGTGCTTTTCACTTTATTGCATTTCACACATATTGTGTGTTTTTACAAATCAAAAGTTGTGGCATCCCTGTGTCAAGCAAGTCTATTGGTGCCATTTTTTCAACAGCATGTGCTTTACTTCGTGTTTCTGTGCCAGCGTTTTTTAGCAATAAAGTATTTTTAAATTAAGGTAGGCACATTTTTTAGACATAATGCTATTGCACACTTAGACTACAGTATAGTGTAAATATAACTTTTATATGCTCTTGAAAACCAAAAAATGTGTGTGACTTTAGTGTGATATTCACTTTATCGTAGTGGTCTAGAAACAAACCTGCACTATGCCTCAGAAGGCATGATTGCACAGAGTAATTGATTTCCCATCGCTTGTTAAGTTTTGTCACATATTGGATGCATTTAGCTTGTTCCTGGCTTTCATTTGAAAGCCTTTAGGATCACCAAGTAGCAAGCTTTTAAAGGTTATCAAGAAAGAACTTCTGTCAATTATCCCACACAAAATTTTTCATTACCTTCTAACTAGTTATGTGTAGTAATTTTACTTTAACCAAAAACAGGAAAAAAAAAAAAGAATAAAAGAAAAAAGAAACAACAAAAATGGCTGACATCGTGTTACTATCTTCCTAAATTTTGTTTTTGTTTGTCTTTCTCTTTTGCCCCAGATCTTGAAGGATGCCAGGAGTCACTGCTTGTTTTTTTTTTTAAAGTTCCCTCACTTCTGTGCTACTCTCCTTCCTGTTACTGGGGCAAGTACATAATTACTAGGTGGTTTCTCATTTACACATGGAAGCCTGTATGTCTGTGAGCTCTCACTTTGCCCTTTCATTTGCCTGAACTTGAAAACTTAGAATTCATTAGTTACTCTACTTGATCTGGTAACAGCTTTAAAAACAGAAGGCTAGAAAAGTGGTTTTCCAGAAAAATGCCAATGCTTCAATCCCAGCATAGGGTGGGAAGGACTCCCTGGCTTGGAGAGGAGAGAAGGTATACAGCAGCATTGCTAAGCAACAAGTCGCTAGATGGCAGCTGCTCTTTACTATTTAAAGAACCAGAGTGATTATATTATGTTAGAAAAGTGGATTTTTTTTTTTGCCTCCAGTTTAATATATATACATACTGTTTCTGAGAAAGGCATTATGGCACCTAGCACTTGATGGGCAGAGGAGAAAATGAAACTGTTTGTCAGTGTTATTATAATGTATCTACCATTTTTCTTTCCTTTCAACTATTGGTCAGTATGGCTTTACTTTCAGATACTCTGGTTAATTTAACACTTTTATTAATTGGCTATTTGCCTTTTTAACTCTACAGAGGCTACCCATTTTCAAAGGATTAGAAGATACACAATAAAACTGTGTTAAATATGCTTGAAGCACTGCCACAGAGGGGAGGAGGGGTGGCAGGGGCAATATATGTAACCCCAACAATATTTGTACCTCCATAATATAATGAAATAAAAGGAGGGGGGAAAACTGTGTTAAATATAATGTTTTCTTTTTTAGGAGATTCTCAAAGATCTTGCCATATGTTTTTGAATCATGACTTTGAACTTTCACACCCAAGAAAGAGACTCTGTGCTAGACTATGAGAATACTGTGAAACCTCTATTGATAAACTTGCCTATAACCACAGCTCATTTATGTAGGAATTGAGTACTCACTTGTATGCTGAACATTAGGGGCATACAGAAATGAATCAAACCTTGTTATGAAGTTATTTACAAACTACTTGGGCTATCAAACCTTTTAACCAACTAACTCTTTTACCAGTTATAGTGAGCCAAATGTTTTCATAAGGAAACAGACATGTAGCTCACAAAGGAAAAAATAATAATAAAAACTGGAGGGTATCTTGGAGGAGGTGGCACGTGAGATTGTGTTTATTTAAGAATGATATAAATAGTGGCAGTGGCATCTTCTGGGTGGCTGGGCAATAGAACAAATAGGGAAATACAGAGAAGGGAAATAATAAATAAATAAAAAATAAGATAGAAAATTGAAAATATTCATTTTCCCCCCTGGACCATAGACTCTAAGGGAAGTGAACATATATGTCATCCTCAGAAAGTTCAAAACCTACTTTTTACCAATGTTTTTAATAAAGTCAAATGAAAAATGTAAAAAAGATGAAAATTAAAAAGGTGCTTTAATCATTTGTGTGTGAGGTTCTATGATTTATGATTAAATGAAATGAGGTGGAGTAGACATCTAACTTCCTTGCTCCATTATTATCTTGAAGGAATAGTCTTCCCTGCTGCAGTCACCCTAAAACTCTGTCTTCCCATAAAAGATATCATTTAGATTATTTTATTGCCACAAATGTTTCCTTATGCATATCTATAATACCTAAAACATCTCTTTTTATCTACTTGCTCCTGCTTTTTGTCTACTTGCTCCTGCCTCTCAGGCTAAGTAAAATCTGCCTTTTTGTAAAGACCTGCTGAGCTTGTTGCTATTTGTAGATAGAAGTATCTCCCTTAGAATAGAGTCGGAGACCTTGAACAGGGACAACTTGGCTGAAAGTTCCTGGTCCTTACCCCGGGGACCAAGGGAAAAACTGGGCTTACAAGTTGTACTGAGAAACTCTTCATAACTCTGAATTATTTGAGTGACCTTTCAAGAACTGAAATCAAACCTCAGTTGCAAAAATTAAACACTCCCTTTTCCATCTAAAAAAAGCAATGTGCATTCTGGAGATACTCGTTGCCTGGCAACAAAATGCATACTTCCTTCTCCTTCAGGGAACTGCCAAAAAAGATATAAAACGCTAGGAAGAAAATTGGCCATAAAAGAGAGTCAATAAAATAAATCTGGCGATTCTTAGAGTAGGAGGAGAACAGATTTACAAAATTTGCATGTCTTTGTGTGTGTGTGTCTTTCTGTGCCTGTGTGCACATGGGATAGGTAGATGGGGAAAGCATGAGATAGAAAGAAACACAACAGTCTACAGTAATCACTTGTTTATTCATTCATTCGTTCTATTGTGGAATGCACAGGAATAGGCAGGTATAATAGGAGGGTTTCTGCTTTAGGGAACAGCAGTGTTAATCATCCCCTGAAAGCACTGATTGGTAGGCTGCGCAACCATCTGAGGGGTGAAGAAAAAGAACAGCAACAATAAAGGAAAAATACCACCTTTTGTGTTTTTATTGTTTAGGAAACTAAGGCTTGGAGAGGTTTACCCACTTGCAGAAAGTCACATAACTAATAATCAGAACTGGTTTATTCTCTTATTTAAAGAAAACTTAATTTTCAAATAGTCACATGCACGTCTCTGCACCTATCTACACCTCCCTTCTCCCCTGGAGAGAACAAGATTCTCTTAACCATACCCCATATACATTTTGTTATTATGGTAAAATATACAATACGACTGACCATCTTAACTATTTTTAGGTATAAGGTTCAGAGACACTATGAAATTCACATTGTCATACAACCATCAACACAATCCATCTACAGAAGTTTTTCATCTTCCCAAACTGAAACTCTTTACCCATTAATAATAACTCCCCATTCTACCTGGCCCTCAGCCCCTGGTAACCACTATTCTATTGTCTGGCTTTATGAATTTGACTACTTTAGGTACCTCATAGAAGTGGAATCATACAATATTTGTCCCTTTGTGACTTGCTTATTTCACATAGAATAACGTCTTCAAGATCTATCCATGTCAGAGTTTCCTTTCATTGTATCTGTGTACCACATTTTATTTATCCATTCATCTATCAATGGACACTTAGATTGTTTCCACCCCTTGGCTATTGTGAAGAGTGCTGTTATAAACATCAGTGTGAAAATATCTCTTCAAGATTCTGTTTTCAAGTCTTTCATATACATACCCAGAAGTAGAATCGCTGGGTATATGGTAATTATTTTTTTTAATTTTATTTTTCCTTAGATACTGCCATATTGTTTTTCATAGTGACTTCACCATTTTCCATCCCCATCTACAGTGTTGACTACACAGGGTTGAAATTTCTCTACATCATCATAAACATTTGTTATTTTCTGGTTTTGGTAGTAGCCATCCTAATGAGTATGAGGTTATATCTCATTATAGTTTTGATTTGCATTTCCCTAATGAGTAATGATGCTTAGCATCTTTTTGTGTGCTTGTGGATAATTTGTATATTATATGCAAAAATAAATATTCAAGTCTTTTGCTCAGTTTTTGAATTAAGTTATTATTTATCATTGTTTTCAAGACTTCTGTGTACATTCTGGATATGTCCCTAATCAGATATATGATTTATAAATATTATTCACATTCCACAGATTGTCTTTTCATTCTGTTTCTAGTGTCTTTTAAGGCACAAAAGGGTTTAATTTTCTTGAGTTCAAGTTGTTTTATTTTTTCTTCTGTTGCATGTGCCTTTGGTGTCATATCCAAGAAAACATTGCCAAGTTCAATGTGGTGAAGCTTTGCTTATGTTTCCTTCTAAGAGTTTTATAGTTTTAGATCTTATGTTTAGGTCTTTGATCCACTTTGAGTTAATTTTTGTATATTGTGTAGGTTAAGGGCCCAACTTTATTCTTTTGCATGTGGATACTGACTGACTTTTCCTAGAACCGTTTTTATTTATTTAGTTATTTTTTATTTCGGTTCATTATGGGGTACAGATTTTAAGGTTTCAATAAATGCCCTCCCCCACGCCCCAGAACCATTTTTGAAAAGACTTTTTTCCACTAAAAGGTCTTGACACTTTGTCAAATATTATTTGACCATATATGTGAAGGTTTACTTCTGGGCTCTATTCTGTTTCTGTGTATATGTCTTTTATTTGTATTTATATGTCTGCTTTATGCCTGTGTCACACTATTTTGATTACTGCAGTTTTGTAATATAATTTGAAATCAGGACACTTCAACTTTGTTTTTCTGTTTTAAGATTATTTTGGCTATTTGACATCCCTTATGAATTTAAGTTGGATTTTTCTATTTCTGCCACAAAATGCCAGTGGGATTTGTTGAGTATTTTTTTTTCCATTGACATATAACAGATGTACATGGTTATATGTGATACTATGATACATTCATAAAACATGTAGTGATCAAATCAGGGTAATTGGTATATCCATCACCTTAAACATTTCTCTTCTTTATGCTGGGAACATTCCAATTATTTTCTAGCTATTTTAAAATATTCTCATCTAGCTATTTTCTCTTCTAGCTATTTTGAAATATACAATAGATTATTTTAACTATAGTCATCTTACTGATCTGTCAAACACTAGGTCTTATTTCTTCTATGTAACTGTATTTCTGTACCCATTAATCAATCTCTCTTCATCTTCTTCTCTCCCCTACTCTTCCTGGCCATTGGTAATAGCAAATCTATACTCTATATTTATGAGATTCACATTTTAGCTCCCACATATGGGTGAAAAGATGTGATTTTGTCTTTGTCCTAGGCCTATTTCACTGAATATAATGACCTCCAGCTCCATTCATGTTGCCGCAAATGACAGGATTTCATTCTTTTCTATGGATGAGTAATATTCCATTATATATATGTGCCACATTTTGTTTATCCATTCATCCAGTGGTGGACACCTAGGTTGATTCAATATCTTGGCTGTTGACCTGCATATGTTGAGCCATCCTTCAATCCCTGGGTTGAATTCCAGTTGATCATGGTGAATGATTTTTTAATGTGTTGTTGAATTTGGTTTGCTAGTATTTTGTTGATGATTTTTGCATCTATGTTCATCGTGGATATTGGGCTATGTTTTTGTTGTTACTGTGTCCTTATCTGATTGTGGTATCAAGGTAATACTGGC